TCAAATTTTGTTGATGGTTTGATTTGTGCTTATTCGCGAACTGCTAGGTCTGATACATACATATTAAATCCTATGATTCGGGAACTCCAGAAACTTCCAAAGAACAGTGATCGTCAAGAATATGGTTTAAACGAATGTTTTGGTCTAGGTATCGACGTGGCCATAAGGCGATACAAGGTAGTTAGGTTATGTTCTTATCCTGGAAGTAATCGTGTTCGCTGTGAGATCTATAACGTGGGCACTACACGGTGGAAGTCTCTTGGTGAAGCTCCTTTTGGATTCGGCGGGACTAAACCAGTTTTCCTTCATGGAGCCCTCCACTGGATTGTGTATGAATCGAGAGCTGATTTTGGATGGCTAAGAAAAGAATATGTGTTAAGAATCGATATCAAAGATGAGAAGTTTGGATCAGCAATATCAATCCCCTCTCCCACATGCCCTAAGATGTCGTTGGTATGTTTGAAGGAATCTGGAGGGAAGCTTTGGCTTGTATTCTCGAAATATGAGAACCCAAATGATAGTTCTTTTGAGATATGGATTTTGAAAGATTACTTGAATAATACATGGGTCAGAGAGTATAACTTTCACCGCAGCAGCCTTTCAAGAATCCACAAGGATTATAGGGCTACATATTTTGTTGGAAGCTTATTCATGAAAAGGCAATTTTGCCTTTGTGAATAGTCCCACATCGGAAAATGAGATGAATAGTAAAGGGTATATAATGGTTCTCTCCTTATTGGGCTTTGAATAGTGTTTTGGGTTTTGTGGGTTTTGCGGTTCTACCACACACGCGCGCGCGCGCGCACGCACGCCGCGCCTCGCCCGCACGCCGTAGCCGCACACTTTTGCTTCTCAAGCCTTCATTTTTGCACGTTTTACACATTTTGTAACGGCTGCATGCGGGTAACGGAAGCATTAACCGTGCGTAACGGTCCCTTGGATTCAGCGGGAGTTACACATTTCATCACCTATAAAAGGAGGCTTGGAGCTCATTCAGAATCACACCAACGAAGAGGAACACTTTCTAAACTCTCTTCTCTTCTCTACTCTCTTACCTCCAAGAAATTTCGGCTACATTTTACTGGGCAACCGTTTTCATCTGAGCATAAGCTCTGTGTCTCACGCCCGAGTGCAGAGGCCGGCCGATTCCGGGGGTTTTTACCGCTAGGGGAGAGAGGACAAACTGCGCCAGGGCGATAGGCGGGTCCTTAATCTTCTAGGGCAGTGATATCACGACTGCTCCCAATCAGGCCTGAATTTTCTAACTCCTTAATTTGTTTATTTCTTTTCTTCTCTCTGATAAAGGAGGAACCCAGCTTTGAGATCTCATCAAAACCCTAAGATTTCGTCGAGGATGGGGAGCAGGTGGAGGAAGGCCAAGGCGACGCTAGGGCTGAATCTCTGCGTTAGCGTGCCGAGGACATTGGACGACGACGACGTCGATAGCGCCGCCGGGAGGTTATCTGATGGGGCGCCGACGGCGACGAGTTCTCCGGCGACCTCCGGTTTCCGGGCATTGATGCCGGCGACTCCAACTCCTTCTTCGTCTGGGCTTAGGATGTCCAAATCTGTTGGCAGATCTTCCAAGGTTCGATCCTTTCCCCTCCTTTTCCTCATCGTCAATTAATTTTGTTATTTTCGTAAAAACATAATTTTTCATTAGGAAGCGCGTGGAGATTTGGTTTTTTTTTTAGAGTTACGGTAAATTTGGGAGCGGAGATCGATCATTAGACGTTTGGATCTTCCTCTTTCTTGGTTCCTTGTGCGCTTTGGAATTTTTAATTTTTTTGGGAAGTTTTCAGCGGTTGCATGTTTCTTCATTAGCTGTCAACTTTTATCAATATTTCTAAATCTGGAAGCATCTATTTTACTTCAAAATGCGATTTCGCTAATTTAGAAAATTCTTGCAAATTAACACTCTGAGCATTTTAGGTAGATTTGACATAATTATCTATTTGATTTAATTTGGTACGAGACATGTGAGAGAATATGGGTTGTCTCCTTATACATGGTCTCGTGAGTTTGCACTTTACTGATTTATTTCGCAAATTAGGCAATTTCTGGGTTTTTTTTTCATTATGATTTTTTTTGGGAGGGCCAGTTTCGCTCTTTCCAGCTGTGGTTTCAAATCATGGGCCAACGACTCGATGATGGGGTCTTGCTGTTTTATTCAAAATTGGACCGGATGACCAGTCCCATTTTAGTTTTTTTTTTCCAAAAGAAAAAAAACTCTCTGTTTCTTAACTTTGATCTCTCCCTTTTTCATCTTTTCCACTTCTTTAGTCAGCACCCATTGCTGTTTCATCCACAGTGTTTTATGTTTTGCTGGGTTATTTTGAGCTTGAAATTCTCAAATTGATTGCAGTTCTCACCCAACGCCTAGAGTTATTGATTTAAACTTTTAATCAATGTTCTCTGTTTGCTCCACATTTGGCAGTCTCTTTCAGGCCTTTGGAGATTATGGCTGCTATGTTCATATGCTTCTCCTTTGTGGGCAATTATTAGTCTATGAGCAAACCGGATGCAGGGAACAATTAACAACAGTTAGTCAAACACTAACTAAAGTTTTTCTACCTTGAGTTTTTGATAGGATCAAGGACAGTTAGCTTACGTCTCACAAGTCCATGTTATTATTTATCAAATTTAAGTACCTCTTATTCGAACAATCTAATCCAATGTGAGAAGATATTCTATTTGCTTTGCTCGGCAGCCTCTTTCATGCTTTAGGGGAATTTGGCGGCTAGTGCTTATCTTCCTTTTTTTAGTGGCCAATGATTATCCTTGTGACAAGTTGCCTAAGTAAGAAAATAGTTTGTAGCCAACCCCTAAAATTATCCTATCTTCAGTTGAGGATAGGGTTAGGAGAGTTTACGTCTTACTAGTCTATGTTATAATTCATTCAGAAGAGGTGCAGTTAGAAGTTTATGCCCTGTTTGGGAGATCACTAACGGTGTGTTTGGGAGTTTACTTAGGGAAGGGAAGGAAGGGGAAGGAAGGGGAATTTTTACCCTTCCTTCCCTTCCCCTCCATTACACCCCAATTTGGGGTGTAAGAATTTGGGCCAAATTTCCCCTCCATTCCCCTCCTCTACCCTCCAAAATGAAACTCCCAAACAAGTTTAAAATGAAATTTCCCTTCCCTTCCCTTCCCTTGCCCCTCTCTACCCTCCATCCAAACAGGCCATAAGGGAAGGGAAGGAAAGTTAAAACTTTTCCTTCCCTTCCCCTCCATTACCCCAATGGGTAAGATCTTAGTGCAAAATTTCCCTCCTCTACCCTCCTAATAGAACTCCCAAACAAGGTTAAATCCAAATTTCCCTTCCCCTTCCCTCCTTTACCCTCCATCCAAACACACCATTAGTCTAATGGATTTTATGCTCTGTGTTGAGTGTTGGGATTTCAATTTATAATTTTTTAGAGATTTCAGTCTATTTGGTATTGAACAAAGCTAGCCTGCATACCAAATAAAAAGAAGTCCAGTCTAAATGTTTTAGTTGGGAGAACTTCTGCTTAAGTGATATATTCTTGCAAGTGATATGCTATAAGTTGTTGGCTGAGAAATCCTAGATATGCTATAAGTTGTTGGCTGAGAAATCCTAGAACTTTAAAAACCAGCAGCTAGCCGATTATATACGTTTCTTTCTACAAGTTGGTTTCTGACTCAAGTCAGCAAGTTAGGTTATAAGCAGAAGTTGAAATTTCTTTTTTCCTGACCCAGCGAGCAAAGTTATTTTAAGTGCCTTTTCTATAGTTATTATTGCTTCAATGTGTTACAGTATACTAGCAACGAGCACAATCTTAATTGGCTAAATTAAATGACATGATGAGTTCTTTTCTTGTGTTGCAACTGGCTATATTGGTTTGATATTCCGGTTGAAAGGTATACTACTGTTTGGTTGTTGCAATATTCCAGAATTTCTTGACTTATTTGCACGTTGCATTAGTGAATAGAAACAGACAATTAATTTCTAAGCTTTATGTGATCTGATTCATCTCCAAAATGATCAGCAACATGATTGTGAGCAAGTTTCCAATTTTAGGCAAGGGAAAGGAAGCTGAAGAGCATATTTATTTATGTTATTATCAAATAAACCAACAATAATTTAGTACTTGATATCAAGAATAGCATAGGTGTTTTCCTACTTTTTTACCATGTGGTAAGCAATCTTTAAAGAAACATGTTATATAACCCATTATAACATGTCTTGTGACCAAGCGGTGGAAAACTGTTGGAAACAACTGTATTTAACGCACACAACGTTTAACGCAGAAAAAACGCATTGTATTGAGTTAGATTTGCGTTACGTTATGTAACAAATTATTGTGGGTTAAATTGCATCTCTGATTCGGATGCTTAGAAGCATCTCCCTCGTCCAAATCACTTAAACCATATCGTCCTGATCCCCCTATTCTATTTGCAGGAAACGATCGCTGCGATCTCCCTACCTCCTCACCTCCATCTCCTCCCCCTTTCACAGAGATAAAGCTTCACCTGGCCTCCGCTCTTCTCGGCTCGTTCCCCTCCCTCCTGGATCTCCTCCACCTCATCGTGAGAGGCCCTAGCTCCTCCATCTCCTCCACAAACCCAAACACAAACCCTAGCTCTCCCTCTTCTCCACCTCACTGCGATAAGCTTGCATTTTGGCTCCTCCCCTTTCAATGAATCCTCCAATTCCTCGGCTCCATATCCTTCAGCTCCTATTTGTTGGAAATGGGTGTAGATCCATACCTGTCAGCGGCGAAATCAAGGCGAGCTTCAGGCAAGTCGAACAGGCGAGGCCGATGTTCTGTTGGCGAGTTCGAAGTCGACGCGAGATCCAGGCGGGATCTTGCAGGCGGAATTCGAAGGGGCTGATGGCGAGTTCGAGATCTCACGTGCAGGCGAGATCGACAACGTGCAGGCGATTTCGCGAAGTGCTGCAGGCGAGGTCTACTGCAGGCGAGATCACACGTCGAGGGCGAGCTCGAAATTTTGCCTCCCCCTGTCTTCGCCTGCTGCGGACGTGGAGGTGAAGGGGATTCACTTGTGGCTATTGGAAAACAGCTGTTCTGGCCCCTAGGGTTCTCCTATAAAAGGAGAACTGTGCACGAGAAGAAATGAGAGAAGAATCTCAGAGCGATTTTTTGAGAGCTGGGTGGCGACGTTCTTTTCGAGCGCCTTCTTCTCCTCCCCGATCTTTTGAGCACGAGATTTCAAGTGAAATCTCTGTTATTAAAGAGAGTTACTGTAGCAGATTTATTGAGGAGAGAGGAGATTTTCAGTTGGAAAAACTCGCGCCTTTTAGAACAACAGATAGTCTCTGTTGGCTCTTCTTTTGAGAGATCTCAAGTTGAGATCTGCTCTTTACAAGCTTTGTAATCTTCTTTAATATAAAGGAAATTATTTGTGTGGCTCCCGAGGACGTAGGCAAGTTGCCGAACCTCGTTAAAACTCGGTATTCTTTGTTCTTACAATTTTGATTTGTTGTGATTTTTTTTTTCCATTGCTTAACACAAGATCCGGTAGGACAAATTCCGCAGAACAGGTGTCAGAGCGTATCTGATATTTCACTAACACTATTCCTCTCCAACCCCTCTCGATAGTGATGAACCCAGCTTCTTCCTCTGTTTTTTGGAATGATTGTTTGTCATATATGGCAAACTTTTGTTAAGAAATTGTGATACTATATTTTTATATTTGATAATCTTGATGTTATGTTTGAAAATTTTGATGATTCTAATTATTAAAGCCATTATGAATTGCTTGTATTTATAAAATATGTAAATAATTACTAAATAAAATAACCTATGTTATGCGATACATATCTTTTTTGCATTTTTTTCTTTTAACTCTTAACAGGATGTAAGATTGTTTCATTAAGTGTAACGTTATTTTTTAACATCGGTGGTTGGAATTTTCTATATGTAAACATGGATCGTTGTATAAAATCAATACATTATTGACATGCATGTAAGGATACATGTATTTTAGTGATGTTTTCTTTGATTTCAATGTCAACTGGCTCCAGCTATTAAGTCAGCTCCTACGGAAATGGAAAGAGTTTATGGTACGCTTGGAATCCTTGTGCAGTAAGAAATAGAAACAAGGAGAATCTACATCCTGGAAGAATAGGATCGTTGAAATTGCATATTTTCAATATAAAGTCTTTAGTGAAAAATAACATATTATCACATGATTCTGTATATGGTTGTACTGAAACATTTTGACTAGATATCATTAAGACATGATAAGAATTTCTGCCTGTTATAAATTCAAGTGAGATCTAATATGTCAACGTAAAATGAATGATTCAATTTTTTTTATTTTTAAAATTGTGTTCCTTACCACAGACCAAAGTTAAAGTATGGACACCTCAGTATCAAATACGTTATTGAAAACTTGTATGGAAGTGAGAACTTTAAAAATTTCAAGTAGTTTCACCTGCAATGTAATTACCAGCGTCTTCTTTTTCCTTTTAAAATTCAGTCTGCACTGGTGGTCAATATTGATATGCCAGTGATCCAAACCATGCCTGAATTTATTTTTATCAGTTACTTGAAGTGAGTTTGATATATGGACAGTGTGAGATTTTATGTTTCCTTAGATTACTTTTTACACTTATTTACCAGCACCCTTAAAACCCCAGTCTTCCATTAGTCACATTCAGTTGCTTTGCATAACAGGTTATCGGCTTTCAAATTCACAATTACCCAAGTTTCCTTCAACATTTGCTAGATTTTATGTTTCCTTAGATTACTTTTTACACTTATTTACCAGCACCCTTAAAACCCACGTCTTCCATTAGTCACATTCAGTTGCTTTGCATAACAGATTATAGGCTTTCAAATTCACAATTACCCAAGTTTCCTTCAACATTTGCTAGATTTTATGTTTCCTTAGATTACTTTTTACACTATGCCCAGAACACTTGCATATCTACAACCTGGCACAGAGTCTTTGTTGATATTGTTATTAAAGGGTCTTCGATGTCCTTTAAACCATTCCGCAACGGTACATGGAGCTTGCTTTGTTGGATAATCTAATTCGGTTCCAATTAAGTCTGTACTGATGAACCTCATTGAAACCTTTTGTTTTTTAATCTTGCAGAAGACATGTGCGATTTGTTTGGGTAACATGAAAGCAGGCCAAGGACATGCCCTCTTCACTGCTGAGTGCTCACACGCTTTCCACTTCCACTGCGTTACCTCTAATGTAAAGCATGGCAACCAAGTATGCCCCATTTGCAGGGCCAAATGGAAGGAAATACCTCTGCAGGGCCCTCTTACCTTTGAACTTCCACATAGCAGATCCCGAGTGAACCCAATTAACTGGACCCAGGATGATAACTATTTGAATCTTTTACGCCGAGTCCCTCGATCTGACTCTTCAAATCAACAGCATTATCATCCATCACATGTCTTTCATGCATCAGAACCGGGTACCTATGATGATGACGAGCCTGTGGACTTGCAAACTGAAACTGCTAGAGACACTCAACAAGAAGGATGTGGTGAAGCACTTGATATCAAGGCATTTCCCGAATTTCTGGCCATTTCAAAATCTGTTCGTGAAGATAACTTCACCGTGCTCATCCACCTGAAGGCACCACGAGCTAGCACAGGAACTATCCCAATCAGAAGTATTTCTTCAAACAACGCAACTTCCTCACAATCCTCTCGTGCTCCAATAGACCTGGTCACTGTCCTTGACACAAGTGGCAGCATGGCTGGTACCAAACTTGCACTTCTGAAGCGAGCGATGGGATTTGTAATCCAAAACCTTGGACCCTCTGATCGGCTATCAGTCGTTGCCTTCTCGTCGACTGCACGGCGACTCTTCCATCTGCGTAGAATGTCTGAAGTTGGGCGGCAGCAAGCCTTGCAAGCCGTCAATGCTTTGGTGTCCAGTGGAGGGACCAACATTGCAGAAGGCTTGAGGAAGGGCGCCAGGGTGATTGAAGAGAGAAAGGAAAAGAATCCAGTGTGCAGCATTATCCTTCTGTCGGATGGACAAGATACATACACCGTGGCATTTGGTGGTGGTAGTGGAGCTCCTTCGGACTACACTTCACTTGTTCCTCCATCCATCCAAGTTGGCAACAGTACCGGCCATCATGTACCAGTGCATGCCTTTGGTTTCGGTACCGATCATGACTCTGCTGCCATGCATTCCATCTCTGAGACTACTGGTGGAACCTTTTCTTTCATAGAGACCGAGGGTGTGATTCAAGATGCCTTTGCACAATGCATTGGTGGGCTCCTGAGTGTGGTTGTTCAGGAACTGAGAGTCAATGTCGAATGTGTGCATCCTGGAGTCCAACTTGCCCCCATCAAGTCAGGCAGCTATGCCAGTCGCGTTGCGGAGAATGGGCGAACAGGATCTATAGATGTCGGGGATCTGTATGCTGACGAAGAGAGGGATTTTCTAGTCTCCATCAGTGTTCCAGCTGTTGTTGCTGTTGAGGATACCGTGTTACTGAAGGTAAATTGTTCCTATAAAGACGCAGCGTGCAAGGAATCAGTATGTTTGCAAGGGGAAGAGGTGAGAATAGAGAGGCCAGAAAGTGCGGGGGAAAGGAGGATGATGTCCATTGAGGTGGACAGGGAGAGGAACAGAGTGCGGGCAGCAGAGGCCATGGCTGAGGCAAGGGCCGCTGCTGAGCGAGGTTTGCTTTCCGAGGCTGTCTCCATATTGGAGGGTCGTAGGAGGATAGTTTCAGAGTCGTTAGCAGGAAGGTCAGGGGACGGTCTGTGTGTGGCTCTGGATGCGGAGATGAGGGAGATGCAGGAAAGAATGGCGAGCAGGCAAAGGTATGAGGCATCGGGAAGGGCTTATGTGCTGTCGGGTCTGAGCTCCCATTCATGGCAGAGGGCAACTGCTCGTGGGGACTCCACTCACAGTACGAGTCTTGTTCATGCATATCAAACTCCATCTATGGTTGACATGGTCACTCGCTCTCAGATGCTGGCCCCTCCCCCCTTTCGGCCCAGCCTGTCGCCCATAAGGCCCACTAAATCGTTCTCTTCTCCTTTGGTCGACCCAAGGTAGCCGTTTCAACCCCCCGCCCCCCTTCTTAAAGGTTTTGAAGTATCAGAGCAGGACGATTTTTCTATTATTTTTTGTTTACTACCTCGCATTATTTCTTCTAATTTTGGGGCTCGGTGCATATTGGATATTGGGTGGGTCGGGGTAAATACAGATAAAAAAGCGTGTGGGGGGCGGTATACGTGGTGATGGGGGTGTATTATTCCTTTCCCGTTAATGAATAATAATAATAAATGCCGGAAAGGTTGGTTTGTGAAAATGGGGAATATTCGGGCTTATGAGGCATAATGGTTTTAGCCGGGGGAAAAATGTGCAGGGGTTTAACTTTTTTTTTTCCTTCCCATTTTTCTCTTTTCCCTTCCGGGGATGTTTGGTTATTTTCCTTCACTTTCCAAAACCCACTTTCCTTCACTTTTTGGAGAGTGTTTCTTGTGTTTATTTCGTAAAGAAACATGGGGAATAATTACTTTCCACCACTTTCTTTAGTTTGGTTTAAACTGAAAAACAAGAAAGTAGTTAGTGTGTGATTTGATTCCCTTATTTTCTAGTGTTTGGTTCAAACCGAAAAATAGAAGAAACGATGGTGTGGTCACCATGGTGTGCTTACCACTCAAATAGGATAAAATATTTGTCAAACATAAGTTGGGTGAGAATACCCACCATTTGAGGGTCTAAATTTTTGAAATATGATCCACTTTTAAATATAAGGTAGTAATTTGTAAAAATTTAAAAAGATTTGAGGGATTTATTATGAACGTTTAAGGGAGCAAGTTCAAATCTTTAATTATTTGAGAGACTAATATAAGTTTTTATAAACCCATTTGAGAGACTAAATTCAAAATACGAATATTTGAGAGAGGAAATTGAAATTGTTTAAAGATTTGGGGGTCTACTTTTAAATTTAAGGGGGGTAATTTGTAATATATTTAGAGATTTTAGTGACTACTTTTAACTAATTATGGACATTTAGGAGGGTAATTCAAAAATCTCTAAAGATTTGATAGACTAATATTAAGTATGATGTAGTAATTTTAAAAAATTTGAAAGGATTTGAGGAAATAAGTGCAAATAATTTGATAATGATTGACTAACATCAATATTTGTGAAGTTGAGGGGCTTTTAAGAAGATAATCTCCAAAATTTAGAGTTCACGGGACTGTAGAAACAAAATCTACAGTGCTATTAGTCTCATTGATTTGCTGGACGTACACAAAAACGTGCACACAATAAACGTGACCACTAGTCCTATGGAAAATGTAGAAATATAATCCACGAGACTAGTAGTCCCGTGGATTTCCTGGAACCCCACCCACCCATGTCATCAGCTAATAACCAACAATATTTGCTGTACAAAATTGAAGAGCAAAACAAATACGTGAGCAATTCCATATCACAATTTTCATATCACAATTCTGAATACATCTTATTAGAACCATGAGATGTTGCGCGCAGCGAAAATTTCGGCAGCACAACAAGAGAGTCAGGTCGCAATAAGAATTCTTGTTTCTCAAAGGGAATAAGAATCTGAAGCCTAATATCTCATCAAAGTGGGATATTAGCTCTTCCTCTCGTCAGCTCTAGGACTGCGCGTCAAGGGAACCTAAAAGCTATTACAAATCACACAAATAGCAGTACAATCAATTTTACGTGGTTCGATAAATTGTCTACGTCCACGGGGCAAGGAGGGGGAGATCTACTATTAGAGGAAGAGAGAATACAAATAGGGTTTACACAAGAATCTCACAAATAAAACCCTCACACAAAACTCTCAAATCTCTCACAAAGCTCTCTCAAAGGGATCCACAAAACCCTAAAAGGGACTACACAAAATCTCCTTCGCACAAGAAAATACTCATCCGCCAAAGCTCCTTGCACGCGCTCTGTTCTTGCACCCCGCAGCCGCCAAACAAATCAAGCACCAACCTTGCGCTAACCTCCTGCACAGAACCCTTAAAAAAAAACAAGGCTTATATATATTCTTGATTCGGGTGGGCCTTGGGTCACGCGTCTTCACGCGGCTTCGTTCACGTGAAACATTCACGCAGGTGGTGGATGGGCCCCACACTCACAATTCTCCACCTCGGTGAAGTTTTCTCAAAACTGAGCCGACACCAAAGCAACGAAAAATCCCACTTGTTGTGTCTAGTACGAACTCAATGCACAACAAGTCAAGAACCCGAACGAGAGTCCAAACACAATCTCACCCCCATCAATTAATCCAAACCGGCTGCATCTAAAAGACTGCCTACGTATCCTCTTGCCCAAGGAATCAAGCCGCCCGTAGTTCATCCAAATGGCCGTCAACGGCCTCAACAATCACGAATATGCAACAAGTTTCGACAATGATCAAACTTGTTGCTCGGAACCACCTTAGTGAGCATATCTGCAGGATTATCCTTCGTGTGGACCTTCACAATCTCCACATCGCCATCTTCAAGAACATTCCGAACGAAGTGATAACGAACGTCAATGTGCTTCGTCCGCGCATGAAAAACTCGATTCTTCGCCAAATAGATAGCACTCATGCTATCACAATGAATAGTGACGGACCTCTGCGATATACCAAGTTCCTCCAAAAGTCCTCGAAGCCAAATAGCCTCCTTCACAGCCTCCGTAACTGCCATATACTCTGCCTCCGTCATAGACAAAGCCACCGTAGACTGTAAGGTGCATCTCCAACACACAGGCGCACGGATCAAAGTAAACACATATCCCGTAGTAGACCGACGCTTATCCAAATCCCCGACATAATCCGAATCAACATAGCCAATGCATAGCTGCCCACCTGTAGTGTCCCGCTCATAAACCAAACCAACATTGAGCGTACCTCGAATGTACCTCAAAATCCATCTCACGACGTCCCAATGACCCACTCCTGGATCGTGCATGTATCTCGACACCATGCTCACTGCCTGAGACAAATCCGGCCTCGTACATACCATCGCGTACATCAAGCTCCCAACCGCACTCGCATATGGAGTCTTCGACATCAACTCTCTATCTTCAACTGACTTCGGTGAAAGACCAGCTGAAAGCTTCAAATGGGCTCCCAATGGTACACTAACTGGCTTCGTATCCATGCTAACATGGAATCACTGTAGAACTTTCTTCAAATAAGCCACCTGTGTCAAACAAATTCTGCCCTTCTTCTTGTCTCTGCCGATCTCCATCCCTAGAATGCGCTTCGCCTCACCCAAGTCCTTCATCTCAAACTCATTTGAAAGCTGAACTTTCAACTCATCTATAGCCGACCTGGAAATAGAGGCAACCAACATGTCATCGACATAGAGCAACAAATAAATATACGCACCTCCTTTCAACTTGCGAAAATATACGCAAGGATCAAACTGGCTCCGAGTGTACGAATGACCAAGCATAAAACCATCAAATCGCCTATACCACTGTCGAGGAGACTGCTTCAAACCGTATAGCGATTTCTTCAGTTTGCAAACCAACTTATCTTTCCCTGCAGCTCGGAATCCCAATGGCTGAGTCATATATATTTCTTCATCAAGATCACCATGAAGAAATGCTGTCTTCACATCCAACTGATCTAACTCTAAACCATACTGTGCCACCAAAGCTAGCAGAATCCGAATCGAAGAGTGCTTCACCACCGGAGAGAAAACCTCATTATAGTCAATACCTTCCTCCTGTGCATAGCCCTTCGCAACCAACCTAGCTTTGAACATCAATGGAGTGCCCTCAATGCCCTCCTTCTTCGTGTATACCCACTTGCAACCAATTGCCTTCCGCCCCTTTGGAAGCTCAACAATCTCCCATGTATCGTTCTTATGAAGAGATTCCATCTCCTCCTGCATAGCCACCTGCCACGAATCAGCCTTCGAACTCTGTTCGGCCTCTCTGAATGTAGTAGACACTAACTCATCGATACTCTCCACCGGAAGTGCATACGCAACTGTGTCGGCATACCGTGCTGGCATCTGTATGTTTCTCCTCTGTCTCCGAACCGTAATTAAATCCTGAACCTGAGCCGTCGGTTCCTGATCCTGCACATTTGTACTCGTATCCTCCGTGTCACCGTCGTGCTCGACTGGTGTCACCTCAGTCGGCACATGCATGGATACTGTACCATCTGGACAATGTGGAGCTGTATCGATCTCCACCACCTGCGATTTCTCCTCCGTCGGGTCGCTCTCCACCTGATAAGAGCTGGGAAGCTTCAAGATAGAAGCCTCATCGAATGTGACATCCCTACTCAGCACAATCTTCTTTTCCACTGGATCCCAAAGCTTGTATCCCTTGACACCACGCTTGAATCCTACAAATATGGCCTTCTTAGCTCGAGGTTCTAATTTATCAGTTCTAACATGATAATATGCAGGGCACCCAAATACCTTGAGCTGGTCATAGTCATGTGCTGGCTTTCCCGACCACATCTCCATAGGGGTTTTTCCCTCAATCGCAGATGAAGGCAGCCTATTAATGAGGTGGCTCACATATGTAAGTGCCTCAGCCCAAAATATCTTCTCCAAACCACTCTGCGACAATAAGCATCGGATCTTCTGACACATTTTGTCAGTTTCGGTGCGTTTGACCCAACGCCAGAAATCTTTGCCGAATTCAAAACCGACGATTTCATGAGCTATAACGTAAGAATTTTAACCATTTTTTCTGCTTCGGTCGGGTGTCGAAAATGTCAAAATCGACGATTTCATGAGCTATTGTCCTGACCATTTTGGTCTATTTGACACCCGTGTCAAAATATCTTTGCCGAATTCAAAACCAATGATTTCGTGAGCTATAACATGTGATTATTGACCCTTCTCGTGCGATTGGGCCCGACTGCAAATAATTAGGCGGAGTGCAAATATTGCGATTTCTTGGGTTATAACGCATGGTTTTCCAACCGTTTCGGCCCGCTACGACCCGTGTGCGATTTCATGGGTTATAACCCATTGTTTGAATTTCACGACTTCGTGAGCAATAGGCAACGTTTTTTGCCCAACTTCGACGGCTTCGTCTGATGACAAATGACTCGGCGGAGTCATATTTCACGATTTCGTGACCTATTACCCATAAAATTTGTCCATTTACGCCCCTTTTCGGCCCGGTGCATACAATTAGGCGGAGTGCATATTTC